AAAAAAAAAGAAATCTGTCTTGGACAAATTGGAGAAGGGTTTCATTATTATTCTTAAACTGCTGAAAACTCTAAGAAGTCATAGATGAAAGAATCTGGTGTGCTTCATATTTATTTGCAGATGTACGTACCTATGAAGACAGGCATTTGTTGTTATTCAGCAGATAAACTTGGACAACCAGCACCTACAGCGTTAGACTGAGATTGCAGAATGTCCGAGATTACCAAATGGCTGCTTAAGAAGTAAAGATAGCCATTAAAACTTTCCTGCTTCTTACTGCTAGGAAAGACAGTACGGTCCATTGCCTTACCCTCTGTACTGTTTGTTCTGTGAAAATGAATAGATGATTCTCAGCATGTCAGGGGCTCTCCATGTCAGATGTATCACTCAATATTAACTATGTGTGAATCATTCATTTTTTCATACCTTGAGCACCTTGCCACACAGTTACTAGTTAGCCTTCCTTCAAGTTGACTGTAAGCCTACCCTTACACAACCGGCAGCTTGTAATATTTCAATTGATCCAGTTGTAGCTCTGCAGAGGTGCAAGAAAATAAGAAATGAGAGGATATTAAGAATTGTTAGTTTTAAAAGAATTGTTTCCAGATACAGTTAGAAAATATCAAGTAAGAAAATAGATAAACCTATTTTAATATTCCCATGCTGAAATGTACTTGGATTGAAACTAGTAAGTGAGTATTAACTTAAGGCTGTGTAAAGGAGGTTATTATGCAAAGATGAATTAGAAGTTGATCAGCTTTTCAAAAATCTGACTAAGAAGTAAACATGCCCAAACACTTGACAGTGGACACAGAGGTAGATGACTAGAAAAAGGAGTAACAAAAACTTTTTCATGGGGAATTAGAAAAGGCTTCCTGGAGGATCAAACATGAACTTTAAAGAAGCAGTGATAATCGTACGAGCAAAGAAAAACTTCCCAAAGGAAGGAATCATAATAAAAATACAGGAGCAGCAGGTGAATGTCCTGTACATGCACCTGCCCTAAGCAGCGAGCACCTCAGAGGGTCCAGATTAATGATCCCTGCGATAGGCTCATATTGCACAATCGGTCATAGTTAAAATGCAGTTACTGTTCTATATCGTCTTTAGTTATTCTAACATCATTACTTTAATCAGCACAGTAATTTTTTGCTAATCTTTTTTCAGAAATATTCCACAGATACGTATGATTACCAGGTTAATTTTTTTAAATGCAAATTAAAGCAATGTGCTTTCTATAAACCATTTATCTGTAACCAAAATTCAGTGTTTTAAATTCTATATCTCTAAAAACAAAAGTTCAGAATGGATCTGGATTAGCAACAGAATGATATTTAAAAAAAATTACTAGTAACCACTTATGTACATAAAGGAAAAATTTAAAGAAATGAGAGCATTTACCCTTTAAAAATAAAAAGTACATAGGGAATATGGCAGCCTTCCTCACATATTTGAAGACTGTAATAGGGAGAACATTTCATCAGGTGTGTTTCGCTTTAGAATAGTATTTCCCCAACTGTAATGTGCTTCTGAATCATCCAGGGATCGTGTTAGTGTTGAGCCTAATTTGGTAAGTCTGAGCTAAAGCTTCCGCATATTGCCGGTCTTAGGACTTCATTCGTAATAGCAAAGCTAACAGTAACTAGACTAGCAATAATAGTGAGAAACTGCAGGAAGGCGCTGTCAGCTCAGATAAGAAGGGTGTCTGCCATTTCAGCCTGTCCAATATAAAAATGGTGAGCCTTTTAAAAAAGTGGACTTCACCAGGCATAGGGGCACATGCCTGTAATACCAGTGGTGGAGGGACAGCTGGAGGAGAAGCAGGCAGATCGTGGTGAGCTCAGGGCCAGCCTGACCCACATAGTGAGACCACTCTCAAAAATAAAAAAGTGAGTACTAGTGGTATTAAAGAATTATAATCTAAACAACTAATTAGAAAACATCCTGCAATATAACCATTGTCAAATTCCTATTTTGTTTAGTGAAATGCTGTACTTTCTATTTATTTTACTACTTTTATTCTCTTAAAATACATTTGATTAAATGGCAATATAAATCCTAGTTTATAAAATTTAATCTGTATTTTTTAATGAGAATTCTCAAAGATAACTTTTTATACTTTTTATGCATTTAATCTTGAAATATCTTCTCACAGGAAATTTTACTGTTGGTGTCTGAACTGATATTAAGAGAAGTTGAGGAAAAAAGAGAAGTTGGGTTAATCTTAACATTTTTTTCCTTTTTTACTTTACGAAAAAAAGTAAAATAAAATTTCATAACAAAGTAATAGAATAACAGTATTGAATACATTGTGTATTGTTTAAAATAATTACTGGGAGTACAAGATACAGACATAAAAATGTCTCTGAACAATTTTAGCATGGACCTTTCTTTTCAGTGAACCAAGAGAAACTAGTAGTCGTTTGTATTTCTTTTCCTTTTCCCTTCATTTCTTTCCCTTTTCCCCCTTCCCAGTTCATCTTTTAAACAATTTCTTCCCATTTCACGTATCTGTTGTACATTTTCAATC